CTTTCCCTTCGTGATCTGTCAACACAAAATCCTTCAAATTTGCTGCCATCCCAACCTAATACAGGAAGAAGAGATAAGAAAACATGGGAAGAAATAGAACAGCAACATATCTCTGTTGCTCTAATAATTATTGAGAGAACTAAATTTCAGTATGTGATTACCATAATTCAAATAGAATCTCGCAGCAAATTACCTCAATCTTATCCTTTGCGATAGAAAGCATGAGTTCTTGATCAGATTCCGAACCTTGGTCATGACTATTGGGCTGTATCAGAAGGAAAATGGTAAATAGTTGAAGTGAAGAAAGCTCATTCCCTCAATGACAAGAATACATAAAATTGAGAGACATGAAAGAACTATCCGTCAGAGAAAAGTATCTGAAACACTTAGACCTCCGATACAGGGTGTTAAGAGATTGAAATTATGCTGCAGTCATGAGCATTAAACTATGTGAATATGATGAAGTAATCTAAAACTATAATCTCCAGTAAGATCTGGTTAAAACTTGAAACATCCAGTTATTCAATCTTGAAAGGGATCTGAACAAAATAAAAGCAAAATTACCCGCAATAATAAGCCTGTAATGAAGCCTTGTTGAAGAGGGTGACCAAACGGTGATCCTCCAAGGATTGCATCCCGGATACGATCGTTAAAACTGAAAGGTTAAGAAATTACAAGTAACAGAAACTGAATCATCAAATTTCTGAAAAATTGTATCATAAAGTAGCAATATGTGTGTCAACTGAGAATGAGGGAGACTCTAAAAAAGATGAAACACTCAATGTTTGCCTGCACGTATCACAAGGAACTTCAAACCTGCCAATTCCAGTTCCGCACAGGTTGAATTGTGAAGCATTTATTCCACGTCCATTTTGAGCAACTTCACCAAAGTCCCATCCTTCACCATATCTGATGAATGATAGCACACCGAATAATATGATTATATAGAAGAGAAGAAAGAGCTAAACAGTGCTGTAAAGCATGTAACTTTGATCATGAACCAAGACATACAAATAAATACTTGAGCCATCAACTCCATCAGTTTCCTTTGTCAACTCACTGAGTGCCTCTTTCGCTTTTACCTACACAGATCCATATTACATACATCCCGTATGAATACTAGCTTAGAAGTATGGGAAAACTTTAGCATCTTCAAGACAAACTTCAGAGAATGACCTTGATAAAAATTTAAACTATCACCATCGTGACATTTGATTGATATCACCAAGTCTGTTCTATTACTATTTGTTATAGGCATATTTCAAGAAGAAACATACAAATCCTATATGGACAGAGGGACAACAGAGCTGCTTACCATGGTAGATTTCATTAGATGACCCATGAGGTCAAAACGGAATCCATCAACCTGATAGTATCAGCACATGATCAGACACCGAGAATTGACAGACGGTCAACAATAAAATGCTGATAACCAGTACCTTATAATTAACAGCCCAATTTAAGAGATCATCGTGTATCAGACGGCCAGCCATAAAATGCTCACTGGCAGTGTTATTCACACATGTACTATTTTCAATAAAACCATCATGGTTCATTCTCAAATAGTAACCTGGAACAATCTAAGGAAATACATTCGTCAGGGAGGCTAGATCGGGAAATTGTAGTACACAGTAAAGTTCCAAACAGGATAGAAGTAATAAAAACTGAGGCAAGAAACTGCACACCTTATCAAGAACAGAGTTTTTGTCATGTGGCCCATTTGCATACAAGTGGTTATAGACAACATCTAGCACAATGCGTAGACCAATATGGTTTAGAGCCTGCCAAAAGAATCCACCTAATGAGCAAACCATACAATAATCAAAAACCAATATGAATTACTAGAATTGTTACATCAATGTAAGCCCCACCATCACAGATGCACACCACCAGAACTGCTATACACTTTTTAATCGGGTTTTTTCCTGGAAGAGCACATTGAAAAAATGTTTACCTGAACCATCCTTCTAAATTCCAGTATACGGCATGAACCACTTGGGTTACTTGCATAGCTTCCTTTAGGTACTCCCCAGAGCACAGGATCATACCTTCATTAAAGAAGAAATTTTCAGTGCGGGTGAACGTTTCATAATAATTGCAGAAACTTGCAAACAAAAAAATTACCCCCAGTTATAACCATCATCATTCTGAACTTCTGTAATCTGAGCTTGTGCCTCAGGTGAATCTGATGCTGATTTTTCTAGCGGATTGGTATCTGTGGAATCATAAATATCAAATGGTCGTCAAAGACTGAGGAACAGTGAGCATGTCCATTATTCCAATGCAAATAAGAAAGATATCTGGCTGACTCCCATTGGTGTGAGAAAGAGATCAAGATACAGGAGTCATTAGGATAACTGAGAAAAATCTGTTCTTTTGTTTGATGTTAAGCAAGATAAATAAGGCATCAGATCTATACACTAAAATACATATCATGAGCAGATTGTGTAAAATCCATTCAGATGTGCATTTGAGACATTAAGATCTCCTACCGACAGACTTCCACTTCTCCTTCTCATCACTGACACTACCAAACTGAAATGTTGGCAAAAGATGTATATGACTAAGGCCCGCATCTGACAATTTTTTTAGATGATTCACTCCAGCTGAATTCTGCCAATAGACATAATATGTTTGAGAAAAGCTACGACATATAACTTTATCACAAAACTAGTTAACCTGAGAAAAAAAAATAAAAATCTGGTCCACCAGCTGAACAACATTCGAACTTCATTCACCACATAGTAACTCAATACAGAATTAGTACACAAGATCATTGACATTTGTACCGTCAACGTAAATGCCAGGTATCCACCACGAACTTCAGGATCTACGGAATGGTCATTGGCACTGAAAAAAGAAATAGTCAGACAAGCAAGATAGTATAAGGAAATTTGCACAAGCAAAACCAAAACATGAACCCCTCTAAACCCTAGAACGTAATTTAAATGTCACTTAACAAAGTTTCTCCACTTGTTTCAAGATGTCAATTGCACTAAACAGATAGAGAAACTGAGCCCTGGGCAACAACAGATAATATTACAGGGGATAAAAAGCAAGGTCTTTATTGTGTTCTCATTCAAGAAATCCATGCTTTGGGCATCAAAGAAAGAGACAGATGCAGATAAGATAAGACCAGATAAGAAAGCACCAAACTATAGATTTTGCAGATTTATGACTAGAAATACTTGCTTCAAAGAAAGAAAACAACAGTCGTAAACACAAAATCTGATTCGGCAAAAACACACCAAGAAACTTATAAGCCGAAATATAGTGGTATTACCTGAAATCCCTCACATGAAGCTCATATATACTTATATCTGAGAATGAACTCAAACATGGTTTTTCCTCAGCTAATTTACCCCATCCTTCAGGCTTAAGATCATCAGAATCAAGATTCACCAGCAAAGTTTTGCTACCATCAGCTGAAATCCTGGTTTTGAAAATACAAAATAGCACATTAAACATTAGGCCACATATTAAATTACAAATAGACCTCTAGTAGAGAATTTGAACCCAACTGAAACAATAAGCATACCCCCGAGCGTATGGATCGTTTGCATAGCAAATCTCGACTTTCAAGGTGCTAGGATGGTAGACTGAAACTTCATACACATAATACCATCCTTCCCAACTACTAGGTCCTTCCATGCTCCACACACCATTAGCCTCCTTAAGTGGGATGATTTCCATGGGATTCTGGTCTAGAGGATTCTCGTAGATACAAACAGAAACTGCCTACTTTTATACATGAATGACCACAGAAAAAGAGATTGTTACGTTAACAGAGTGAACAAAGAAAGACAATACCAATCAATTTTAACCAAGAAAATAGTACTTGAGCAGTAGGGGCCCAAAGGTGAAGACAGATAGCTTCTTCTGTATAATGTGCACCTAGAGGACCATCATAGGAGAACAATTCATCCAAGACTCCAGGTAATTGCAACCCGGTTCCCTCGATTAGCCGCCCTTCCGCTGCAGAAAAATAACAAGTTGTTGCCGGTATTCAAAACCGGGAAACAACGGTAGAGGAAATGAAACGGACAATGGAATGAAAAACAGTTAAAAATCCTTACTGTCAAAGTAAGTAACAGCTAACTGGCTTTTGACAAGATCTCTGACATCCAAATCCAAAGGAACTTTGAACTGTCTGTAACGCTTGATATGCGGAAACTTTTCAATCACCTAAAAATTCAGATTTCCAATTTTTAAAAAACCATACAGATGTCTACATTCCTATGAACCAAACCTTAAGCAGAGACTTCACAACTGACATTTGAAGGAAGTGGACTAGATTCAACTTCAAGCTCAACTCTTAAATCATAACCTGCAGAGCAAGAAATCAGATTCACATAAATATTTCACCAAGATTAAAGCTAAACCCAGTAAGGTATCATTGAGCACCTGTGATTCCGTCATCGTCGAACGTTAAACCAGCAATTCTGCTCGCGCACAAGTAGCAGGAACCTTCTCCAATCTCCAAATTCCAAGCGATTACGCGCTCGCTAACCCAAAATGCTCTCGAATATAACAAACAATCACGAACCTGGTCACAATTTCGGCAAAGGACAGAAAAGAAATTGAAAATCAAATTAATCAGCATTGTGATCGATCATCACAAACCAGAAGCAAGAATGCAAGAAATCAAACATTTATGGAAACCCGTTAAAATTCATCCGAAAATTATGAGTCGCAAACCTGAGAAGTACGAACGGAAGCTTCGAGAGGCATCGGAGATGCAGTAGACGACGAGGAGCAGAGACAGCAAAGAGGTTCTCTGCGGGAATCTCCCGAGGGAAGAGTGATTGGCGATACAGGTTGTCGCTGCGATTTAGGATGACGAGCGCGCGGCTGAACAGGCGCGCCGGCGGTGCGGCCGAACGAAGTCGGACATGGCGAGAGTAGAAGAGGGGAAGCAAGCGACATTTTCTTTCCGTTGCCAAATTACGATGATTCTAAATATGTATACAGTATGTATAGCTGTACAGCTGGCGATATTTGAATGATGCAACAAAAAAAGGAAATCTATATATTAACGTTTTAATCCTTTTAATTATTAATTTCTTTCAGAAATATCCAAAAGTTTTAATACAGTCAACAAATACCCCTACGAGTAATTACAATTTTACCCATCGTGTAAGGAACTGACTTTGGGCCCAACGGACATATTAAAAGGCTTTTTAGACAATTCATTTAGCCAGAGCTTGCTAACAGCTATTAGGCCCATTAGAATAAGGTTGGAATTGGATGACGCCTATTTTTAAATTATTATTATTGGTGACTTTCGAAAAATATATATTATTTATGTTACCCTATAACAATTTTTATATAGAATTTCAATCTTGATTAGAGGTTGACATAAAACAAAAAAAAAATGTGGGAAACGAGGATGTTCTGAAACCGGATCAAATAACCAATCAAAATCGGTATAAAAATTTGTATGTTTTTTAAATTAAAAAAAAATTAAAAAAATGATTAATACTCTATTCAAAAAACCGGTGTTTATTCTCATATAATACAGAACGATGTCCAAACTCAAAAGTCTTGTAAAAAGCTCGTCGTGCAATCAAGAAAATGAATCTTGATATCTCATGTTCTTGATATTCATCACACATTATACTTATTTTTAAATTTAAAAAGAAAAACGAAACTTCCATTACATAAATCAAAATAATTTCTAATATTTCCCTTAAATTAGAGAACAACGACAAAACAATTCAAAATATAAAAAAACAACAAAAAAAAACTCTAATTCTCTTTATGAGGAGCGTCCCATTTGTACTTGAACACCGCATGGGTATCGTCTACATACTCGTAGATGCCGTCTTCTCTCGCTTCCCACATGACCGTCTTGTCGGCTCGCCAGAACCATATGGAACGGTAAGCCACGAACACTTGGTAATGCTTGTAGTGAGGCCCTTGCCACAGGTTGCACCAGTAGAGCGTCGATAGGCCGAAGTTATCGTGGAATTTGAACCGATAGACCGTGTCCGGACCGAGCAGGTGGAACCCGAGATCGTTGTCTTTGGACTTGCAGTGAACCTTGAGGGTCTTGTTGTGTTCCAACGCGTTTCTGATCGCCACGTGGTTCCTGTCGTACAAGCCTGCATGGCTCACGTTCATGCACGGGGCTGCCGCCACGACCAGTAAGAACGTCGCCGTGAGGTAGTGGCTGTTAGTCATTGTGTTTTGCTCTTACTTTGTAAGAGAATGACTTTTTTGAGAGATTGAAAATTTATGTATTTATCAGTAACAAAATAGCAAAATTGATGTATTTATTTGGAATTTTTTCCATATTTATATATGGGAATTGATATTTCTTGAATAGACTTTTATGGCATTGAATAACTTTTTTTTTTTATATAAATCGGCATTAGAAAAAACACAAATCTTATGAATTAATAATATGCATATACATTGTTATGTTTACATATATATTTTTTTATGTTTACATATTTATATTAGGTAACTGATCATTTACATGGGCATTGAATCGTTTCTTCTTTTTTGATAAGTTGGCATTTTTTTTCCTTAAAAAAAGGAAATTTACTTATTATATATTGATATTTCTTCTAAAAAATAGCAAGTTGCTTGTGACATTAGGTAACTGATATTATGAAATAAAATGGAAATTTACTTATTATTAACCTTCCATCAATTTACAAGTGCATAATCTACGAAAATACATCGTAGATTTTTTTTATTTCACTTGGGTGATTGATTTTTTTTTTTTATGCAGAACTAGATTTAATTTTAATTCTCTTTTTCTTTAAAGTGGTCGCTAAAACTACATATAAAAAAAGATTGGTGGTAATAGTAATACCTACCATATAGATGCTAAAAATAGGTGCTTAAAAAATCAAATGTAACGCAGTACAAATAATCGAATTATTTAAATCCAACAGAAAAATTATGAACGAGCTTAGAATATTTAAATCCAACAAAAAATAACTCATACACCACACAAGATCCCTTTTTTAAAAAATAATAATAATTAGCATTTCCATACCATATAGAAACCTTTATTGATGTATTAAGAAAAAAAAAAAACCCTAACGGGGTGGCAAGTTCTCGTCAAAAGAACTCGAGGGAGAATCGTCTCCATGAGGAGCGTCCCATCTATACCTGAATACCGAACGGCTCTCGTCTATATACTGATAGATGCCGTCCTCTCTCGATTCCCATGCGAACCTTCTCCCAAACTGCGGGACCCCGAGAGACCGATAAACCTCGAACGCTTGGTGATGCTTGTAGCGAGGCCCTTGCCACAGGTTGCACCAGAAGGGCGTCGTGAGAGGAGCGTTGTCGCGGAACCCGAATTCGTAGATGGCGCCCGGAGCAAGCAAATGGAATTTGAGATCGTCGTCTTTGGACTTGCAATGAACCATGAGGAGCTTGCCGTGTTGCAGCTCGTTTACGATCACGACACGGTTCTTCTCGAACAGTCCTGCTCTGGCCGCGTCTATGCACAAGACCAGTATGAAAAATGAGATCAGGAGATGATCACTCATTTTTTTTTTTTTACTAATTAGAAATTTATTTCCCGTTATATATATATATATAGAGTCATATACAGGCAATAAATACGTTTGTGCATACGCCTTATATGGTTGTGCATTGAATGATTTCTCCTTTTTTATCAAATTATATTTAGTTAGCTTGTTGCCAAAATCTTTCATCCATTTATAACTGCTTATAAGTAAGTATTCATGGGGTTTCTATATTGATATATTTATATTAGACTCGTTGGATTATAACAATTAATTAGAATAACGATTGCAACATAATTTGTTATTATATCAAAATAATATATATATTTTTATTTAAAGTTGTGTTAGTTGCTCAAATATACGCATTTGAGGCGAAATTGTCCACAAATCTTGGTTTATATCGATCCACATGGTGATAATTATTCGTTTAAAAAAGAGAAAATCCAAAAAAAACTGAACTTTTCAATTTTGACAAAAAAATACTGAACTTTATTTTTTATCAAATAAACATTAAATTTTTTAGACGGGTGATCATCTCCTAAAAATACATGACTTTTTATCAAATACATGATCATCTCCTAGAAATACATGACTTTTATAAAAAAATACATGACTTTTTTTGTGATTATAAAAAAATACTAAACTTTTTTAGTGATCCAAAAAATATATGAACTTTTTTTATTGTAAAAAAAACTAAGTAAAATAATCTAACGTGTTTGTATCTCCTTGTGTCAAGTCAGTCATTTTGTTTATTTTGATAATCTAGAAGAGTCAAGTGTTTATTTTGTCAAATTTAAAAAGTGTAATATTTATTTGATATAATAAAAGTTCAGTGTATTTTTTTGTCAAAATTTGAAAGTTGAGTATTTTTTTTTTGATGTTTCCTTTAAAAAACTAGAAACGTGCATTTTCAAATGAAAATAATTTTATTTTTTAATAATACAAATGTTTACCAATTCTTGTGTCCAACTAAATATTTGAGAAATTAAAAAAAATAAGGGTGAATATTCATCTATACGTTTGGATTTGAACCCATGATAAAAGTATAATTTGTATATTTTTCTACCAATAGATCACCCAAACTTGGTAATAGAAGGAAAATTTACTTATTATTAACCTTCCTTCTTAAAAGATAATTTTGTTAATTTCAATTTCTGTATTTCTTAAAATTGGTCGCTAATATTACATAAAAAGGAAGAGAAGATATTGGCCGGTTATGCCTACTATCTACAAGCTTAAAATGGGTCCGTTCGTACTAAATTAGGGTTTAGAAAATCAAATGTAACGCAACACAGATAGTTAAAATTATTCAAATCCAACAAAATTTATATAACATTAACAATATATATATATATAACAGTAACAAAGAAATCAAAATAAAACTCTTTAAAGTTGAGATTCATGATTTTCATCAACCAATCAGGTTCCGACTCCATTTTACTGCGTTTATAGAGTACAATCCTCTTTATTATATTATTTTTTTTTTATCTTATTGATATCTCACCCATTTTAAGACGAACAAACACACCCACACCCACACACACACAAAAACCCTAATGAGGAGACAAATTCTCGTCAACAGAACTCAAAGGGGAACTGGCTTTATGGGGAATGTCCCAACGGTATCGTAACAGCCGAATGTTGTCGTCCATATGCTCAAAGATGCCGAGCTCCCACGCTTCCCACACGATCCTGTTGCCGTGCATCGGAGCAATTCCCTGAGACTGGTCGTAGACCGTCAACACCTGGTGGTGCTTGTAATGGGGACCTTGCCAAAGGTTGCACCAGAAAACGGTCGTGTCGAAAAGGTTGTCGTGAAACACGATCTCGTAGGTTTCACCCGGAGGGATCAGGTGGAACCCGAGATCGTCCTCGTCGGACTTGCAGTGAACCTTGAGGATCTTGTTGTGCTCCAACATGTTTGTGATCTCGACACGTTCCTTGTCGAACAGACCTGCATTGGTCACGGTCACGCACGAAGCGGCCATGACCAGTAACAACGTTAATGAGAGGAGATGGCGGCCACCCATTTTTATTTTTTGTATTTTCGTTACTGATTGAAATTTTCTTTCCGGTTATATAGAGTCATGAGATATGGATTTGTGCATACGGTCTACATGGTTGTGCATTGAATGGTTTTTTATTTTTATTTTATAAATAGTCGCTATCAGTTAATTTGTTTTTTTTAAAAAGCATTAATGTAAAGGATTATATATGAAATAAAATGGAAATTTATTTATTAACCTTCCATCCATTTGGCATTTGCAACTGTATACAAGTATGTATTCATGCTTCAGATATTTGTTGAAATTGCTATATTTGATGAGTATATGGACGATAACGTCTAAAATGTTGTTTTTAATTCAAATTGTATATATTTCGCATTCGAATACCCAAGCTTCATAAAATGGATAAAATGTCTGTTTATTTGGTCAACCCTTCGTTTTTTACTTTGACTGGACAAAATTATTTTATTTTATTTTTTTCAAATTCATCAAGTAGTAAAATATGGAATATAAAATTTTAGATATTAAAATTAAAAATTGTGTTAGTAAAATAAAGAAATAAACTAAATTCGGGCGTGTTTTGTAATTTCTTCATTTTTTTCCGATTCATATATTGTAAGTTTGTAACGTTTTATTCAAGTTTAGAAAATCCCTTTTTATGCAAAAAGTTTTAGAAAACTTTTAAATAAAAATTCAAGTATTTATTTAATACGAAGATATTAATAATAATAAGAACAAAATCTCGATGATTTTGTCATTAATACAAGATATTCTAATATAAAATTGATGTCTTGGGTTAGTTATTTCATTTGATACATAGGACAATAATTTTTTATTATAGATACTCGTTCGAAATAAATTAACTCAAACTATTTAAATAAGGTGAATACTTAATTAAACAAGGGATGGAGCTAATTGAAAAGGAAATAGTTTCACTCGCGTCTATTTTGACTGCATATTTCATTTAAAAACTTGAACGATGAAATATTATATATATTGATATAGCCTTTTTATACGGTGATATCATTTTTTACAAATGTCATATATAAAACTTATATTGTTTATATATTATTGTTCATTTTTATCTATCTTTTGATTATGATCAAATAAGTTCAATAACAAAAATATAGCAATTTAGAAATTCCATGGTACAAAGGGACTTGGGGAAAATTCAACAGAATATGTAAAGCATATATATATATATATATATATATATACACACATATATGCAGTTGCAAACGTATGGAAGGTTAATAAGTCAATCTCCTTTTTATGTCATAATCCATGGCTTTTTTTGGAAACAGATTAACTCACAGCGACTATTTATAAAAAATAAAAAAATAGAAATCATTCAATACACAACCATGTAAAGCGTATGCACAAACCTATATCTTGTGTGTATCTGCATGTATATGTGTATGTACGTACTCTATATAGCCGGGAAGAAAATTTCAATCAGTAAACAATATATTCAAAAAAAATAAAAATGAGTGGCCACCTCCTCAACTCATTAATGTTGTCACTCATCCTCGCCGCCTTGTTCATGAACGTGACCGATGTTGCAGGTCTGTTCGAGAAGGAACGTGTGGAGATAAAAAACAAGCTGCGTTACAACAAGATCCTCAAGCTTCACTGCAAGTCCAGAGACGACGATCTCGGGGTCCATCTGATCCCTCCGTGGGGAACCTACGAGATCGTGTTTCACGACAACCTTTTCTACAGGACCCTTTTCTGGTGCAACCTTTGGCAAGGTCCTCATTACAAGCACCACCAAGCTTTTGCGGTCTACGATTCGAATCGGGGGATAGTTCCGAAGAAGGGAAATAAGATCGTGTGGGAAGTGATAGAGTACGGCATCTTGGAGTATATAGACGAGACCCATAAGGAGTTATGGTACCGTTGGGACCTCCCTCATGGTGAAGCCAGTTCCCCTCTGACTTATGTTGATGAGGATTTGTCTCCCCGTTAGGGCTGTTTGATTATCTGTGTTTGTTTTCTTGTTTAAGGGTGATATCAATAAGATCAAAATATTTTTTTTGCCGAAGTCAGCATTAGGGCAAACAAGCCGTGTGGATATATATTTTTGTCCGAAATCATACAAAAGTTACAACCTTAATTGAAGGAGAAGCCTTCTCATTTCATTTGTGCGGAACGTCCCATTTATACTTGAAAACTGCTGGCTCATTGTCTTTCATTAGATAGATCCCTTCCTCTCTTGCATCCCAAAGGAACACGGCCCCGAACCTCGAGTACAGAGCTGCATGGTAAGCCACGAACCCTTGATGATGCTTGTAGTTCGGTCCCTGCCACAGGTTGCACCAGAAGAGCGT